GTCCTCATTTCTCAGACCGAGGTGAAATCCAGCAAAGGTGGCGCCGCAGGAGCCGGAGCAGCTCGGGGGCAGCCTGGGCTCCCCCCCCTCACTGGGTGCTCGGCCCGCACCCACCACACGGGCTCCCCGGCCCTGCTCCTCGACGTGGGGGCTGAGCTGCGCCCGGCAGGTGAGGTACTGGGACGCACAGGTGACCTCGGCGTGACATGGGGGGGGGGGCGCCTGCATGAGCACGCAGGGGTGCCCAGCTCCGGCGCTGTCCTTGGCGCGCATCGGCTCGCCTCAGGCGATGCACACGCACCGAACAGTCCCGACAGCTCACACCGGGCTCCGTCCTCACGCACCTGCATTCGCACTGAGCTGCAGGCAGGGCCTCTGCGTCCTGCCCGCTGTCGTGCACCTGCACCACCTGCCCGCGGACGCCCCAGGGTGGGGCCCTAACCCGCGGGAGGCGGGGCCCTAACCTATGCAGTGCAGCCCTACCCTGCGGGCCGCGTGGCTGCTGTCACCCCTGAGACCACGGTCGCCTGCCCTGACTCAGCCCATGAGGCCACGGTCCTCGGACGAAGGAAGCCACACCATGAAGGCAGATAAAAGAGGCGGTTTCTTAACATGAGACTTTTCTCCAAGTTTATGGACCTGAAACTCGTAAAATACAACTTTGAGCATCACGTTGTTCTCTCAGCTCCTGTTTTCTGATTCCCGAGATTGCTGTCCACTATTTAACCTTTAAAAAATAAGGTGTCGGGGGCAGCCTGGGTGGCTCAGCCATTTAGCACCGCCTTCTGCCCAGGGCGTGATCCTGGAGACCCAGGATGGAGTCCCGCATCGGGCTCCCTGCATGGAGCCTGCTTCTCCCTCTGCCTCTCTCTCCCTCTCTCCCTCTCTCTCTCTCTCTCTCTCCCGCTCCCTGTGTCTCTCATGAATAAATTAAATCTTAAAAAATAAATAACAGAAATTTAAAAATAACGTGTTGGGTGTCATGTCCTCCCCCCGGGGCCTCTCACAGGTCATCTCGTGCGCACTCTGCTGGGCCCGGGGTGCCCACACCGAGGCGACTGCACCACACGAGCACCCGTTCGGTGGGCTGAGGGCTCCCGATGCCGGTGGGCCTCACCAAGCCCCGGGGGGCTCAGGACCAGAAAGCTGGAAGAAAGTGGAGGGCCTCCCGCCCGCCCGACGGCGACACAGGCCCCCTGCCCGGTTGGCTGCTCAGCCGCCAGACCCTGTGAGCAAACGCGTGACCATCCCCTACGTACACACAGGGGCAAATGGGGTCACTGGGTAAGCAGTGACACCACCACCCAGGCCAGGGCTGCCTAAGACCAGAACAGGCTCACAAGGTCACCCAGGACCTGGTCACCAGCACGACCAGGACAGGCGGAGGCCTGGGGCTCAGCGGGCAAGTGTGGGCCCTCAGCTCCGTCCTGACCCGGGGCCCTGGGGGCCAGGCCACGTCGGGCCCCTGCTCAGGGGGAGCCTGTTGTCCCTCTCCCTCTGGCCAGCCCACACTCGTGCTCTGTCTTAAATAAATAAAATCGTGAGAAAAAAAGAACCAGAAGATGCGGCAGCGGCCCAAGACCGTTAAACTCCTTTAAAAGGGAAGACTTCGCATAAAGAGTCAACTCCGGACCCTGCCCATTAACGGCGACTGCAAGGGGCACCCGCCACTGAGCCCCGTCCAACGAATGTCGGCCCAGGACAGGTGCCCAGGGTGGCTCACGGGTCCTCATCTCCGCTGCTCGCTCACAGACTGACTTTGCGTTTGGTTTGTTCGCTTCTTACCCCTGCCGTACGGTGTTTATCGTGATTTTTTATGTGTTCAGTTTCTGTGAGGTTTGGGAAGTCCCATAAAGTGTCGTGTGGTGTGACTGAGCTTGCAATCCCAATCCTGTTTCCCCTTGCTTTACAAGTGGATGAGCTGACGTCTGGGCAGAGCCGTGCGTGCTCCGAGGGCGCCCAGGACACTGACCTGCACAGGAGCGGACGGACGCGCACTTGCCGGTTCTGCTGAGATCCGACCGAGGGAAGTCAAGTGCTGTCGCCCGACCCAGCCCAGGGACCAGCAGGTTCTTTTCTAACAGTGTTGTCACTGGCTCTCCACCAGAGTGAGTGTTCACTCTAAGCAAACAGCTGAGCGGCGTGGACTTTACCCACATTCCCGCCGGAGCTCCGGTACCAAACACTGGCCCCCTTTAAACGGAGTCCTGAAGATACAAGTGCCTCGCGAAGCAGAGTTACTCGGTGACCAGTCAGCGTGGGCTCAGGGCAGGGCGACCCAGAGGGCGGCGTGTGGCACGACGGGCGCTGTACCAACGCGGACGGCGCCGCTCAGACCCTGTGCCTCGCTCGCAGCCCACGCAGCCCACGCTCTTTCAAGTCTCATCATATACACACGTACAGGACAAAACATAAACAAACAAAAAAACCCCAAACCCAAAGACAAGTATTTTAGATGATAAATTTCCAGCCTGAAAAATTTTTAGGTAAGTTTTCTTTTGCTTTTATTACAAGCATATAATATTAATTGGCAAAACACTGAGTACAAGCTTCACTATCATAAAATCAAAACATTTAAGCAATATTCCAAAAAAGATTTTAGACAAAAACTAGCCACCAATGGTACAAAAATTACACACCAACACAAAGCATAAAAAATGTAAACTTTCAAATTAAACAGTCAAAAATATGTATCTGCATTGTCATCTCAGTAAACCGCGACAGCGCCCACGTTGCCACAGGTGACGATCAGCTTACTGGCGGCTCACAGCCCTGAACCCTACGTCACTCGGGGAGAGTATGGTTTTCTTATACCCAATTAAGCCGTTGGAACAGACATTTACACTAACGCTACACACACCTTAGGGGACACTCAACCTTCAGTCCATCCTTCAGATGCGCTCGTGGACACGGGAGCCACGCGCGGTGCAGGCGACGGGCGGGCGGGCGGTGGCGCAGGCAGCCTCCTCGGTGGGACACCTGTCTCTGCCAGGCAGGGACGGGATCTTCGTAAAGACTACGGCTAGCCCGAGTAACGGGTTTCCTAAGCTACGGCTCCCAACTTAGGTCGTCTGTTTAGACACCAGGGCAGAGCAGCACACTGGCTTTCAGGCTACGGCCCCCGGGACGTGCCGGAGCTAAGTGCTTTCCTGAGGAAACAGAGAAACCGCCTTTTTCCCGGGTCAGCCAGCTGCGCTACGTTTACTTCCAGCGTCTTGAGAGCACACCTCATATTCACACGTAAAGTAGAAATCGGCTGGCTCGTTCCTAGAACAATCGATCCAATGACACATTTTAAATTGCTGTAAAACACCCTCCTGTGCACTTTGAGGGAAAAAATGAAACGAATTTGTAAAGACTTCGCCACAAGGAGGCTTCAGAGGGCCCAGGAGCCCCGAGGAAAGGAGCACCGTCCCGTCCGTGGCCGACACGCGGCGGTGGCTCCAGGGCCGGGAGCACGCGGGGCCGGTGTCCACGGGGCACACACACAAACCATCCCCAAACAGCATTCTTGTTCTTAGAACAGCAACGGAAAAGGAAAACCCAAAGAGCTGAGTGTACATACACTGGAATTCCACCTACATTCCCTTTCGATTTAGCAGAAGAGATGTGACGTTACAATTTAGGTAGATGTCTAATCAACGCATCTGGAACCTATTGCACAAAAGCATAAACGATGCTCTTCATCTATACAGAACAAAAACATACAAATTAAAAGCTACTCAAAGTAAAAGGAAGAAGCTTGCAAAACATGTCACAATTTCATTTTATATGCCTGTAAATAAAGCTGGACCACGGAAACCAAACAATCGGATGGGAAAATATGATAGAAGGCTTAAAATAGAATAAATAATTTTATAAAGTTAAGTTTTCTTTTTTTTAACCCCCCAAATCTTAAATTCAATATTATATATTCTATCTGAATTCTCTATCTTCGTGAAAACTGCATTTAGTGAGACCGTGTGCTGGGCAGCGCGTCCCACTGCGGTGACGGTGAGACAGGAAGAAGGTGACCGGACAGCACTTGTTTTACCAGCGGAAACCGTCGTGGAAACCACTTCACAGGAACTCCATCTGTTAACAAAGAAACCTAGTAGGACCCGGCACTAACCGATCCTGGCTTTCGTGCCGGGAAAAGCCAAATTCAGCCTTTCGACGTGGACTGACAGCGTGCCAGCGGGGAAGGGGCCGTCCTGCCGTGAAGACAGTCTGCGTGAGGAATCTTAGAAAAATAGGTATGTCTGCTGCTGAGGTTTCGTCGGGTTAGCACGGTTACAAAAGGGGGTCACAGGAGGGTCAGCGGCCAGCCGGCGGCGCTGGCACGGGCTCCGTCTCCACCTCCGTGTCGGAATGCGTCCACTTAGCACCATAGCAAATTCAAGTGATTTCAAAGATAGCTACAAAGTTACAAATATGTGTCAGGAGATCCTCCGGCGATCCCGATCCCGCGGCTAATCGGACCGGACCGCGGCTCGGCTCTGTGGGTGTGGATGCGGACCCCGCGGAGCCCTCCCCGCCTCCCCGCGGGCGGCCCCCAGCCCGCACCGAGGCACGCGCGGCCAGCGCAGCGCTCGGCAGTAGTGTGTATGCTGAGGTAGACGGTGCGAGTCACTCACACGCGTGCACTCGCTGGACCCCGCGGGGCGGCCCGAAGCACGACGCGGCGCGCACGGCTGCGCCCCCTGCACGCGGCCCCCACGTCGCTGCGCTCGAGCCCGGTCCGACCCCGCGTCACACCCGCCTGCACGCGGCCCGGGCGGCTCTCCCGTCCCCGAGGGTCAGGCCCGGTCGTGGCTGCTCCCGATGCTGACGTCTACGAAGAGGGGGCAGCAGAGACCCAACTCTCGCTGTCGGGGCGGCAGGACGGCGACACGCTCCTGAACACGGGGCGGGAGGGGGCGGCGAGCCCGCGGACCCCAGGGCGACACTCGCGGCCCAGAAAGGCCGCTTCTCCTCCCGCCCTCACACGCTCCAAGTTACTGCTTTAAAGGGACAAATACTGATGTGCTGGCAGAGTTTATTCACTAATTCCACAAAAATATGAACATCTGCGAGGAGAAAGGGGTGAACCGAGAGTGTGCTGCCTGCCACAGCCGCGCCGGCCCATCGAGGAACCGGGAAGGCGACCGCAGGCCCCGCCAGAGCCCACGGATGCGCCGCCCGACCAAGCGCCTTCCCAGGAGAGCCCCCCCCCCCCGGGCCACCACCCTGTCTGGGGAGCACGGGGAGGAGTCAAGCAGGGAGATTAAGCGGGAGCCCTGAGCCACCAGGGCCCTCACACCGTCCGAGGACACGGGTGGCTCTGCAGGCCAGCGCCCAGCCAGCCAAGGCAGCCCCAGGGCCCTGCGGGCCGCGCCAGCCCGGCCGCGTCCAGGGGGGCGGGGGACCCTCCCGGCCTCGGCCAGGGCCGCAGCGCGTCCTCGGGGCCCAGGCACCGGCGAGGCGGGGCAGCTGCGGGCTGACGTGGCTCCTAACGTGGAAAACTAAATCCCGTGGCTAACTCATAGTATTAATGGAATGCTTTTAAATTAACCATTTATATACCTGTAAGTCTTCAGGAAGCTAAAGGCAACATAAATATCGTCATTCACCAAGAAGAGATATTTTTTTCAATAACTTAGGAGGGTTCAATAAACGTACAAGTATTTTTGAGGATTATCGTGAACCCAAATTCATAAACTAAACGGAAATGACCAGATTTTCAAGGCCCGGGAAGCGAGCACAGGTCGCGTGGCCACTGTGTTTACCATCTAGTCTGCGAGAGGCGCCTCTCCGGCCGCTGAGACTGTGAAGTGTTTCGTCGTCTTGTAACCGTGGTGCTGGTAGTGTCTTGTCGAGTGTGAATTCTCTCATACAAAAGTTATAAATACTCTATTCAGGAATCTGGTCCTGCGACACCGCAGGCAACACCCGCATGCAGTGGGGCCCGGCGCGGGGCCGCGCTCAGAGCAGGTCCATCTTGGGTCTGTAGTGCAGCAGGAGCGGTGCCTTCTGCAAGACAAAGTCAGAGCACGGTGCCCATCACGACGGCCAGCCGCGGGGACGGGCCCTGGGCCTGCGCACACCTGCGCCCCACCTGGTCCTGCCCGTCCCCTCAGGGTCCTGCTGCTCTGGGCCGCCCCCCAAGTCGGGGGTCCCGCCATCTGCCTCCGAAGCCGAAGGCTTTCGGGCACCCTCTGGGTGCAGCAGCGGACCACGGGGTGGCCACCTTGGCCATGAGGACCCCAGCCACACGGGCTCTGGACTGATGATCTAGAACCATCCTGTCACAGAGTTGTTACTTCTAAGTTCTTCGTTGGAAATATGCACAGAAAAGTAGTTGCCGGATTCTGACAACCCAACAACCCAATCTTTTTTTTTTTTTTTTTAAAGATTTATTTATTTATGATAGACATGGAGAGAGAGAGAGAGGCAGAGACACAGGCAGAGGGAGAAGCAGGCTCCATGCACCGGGAGCCCGACGTGGGACTCGATCCCGGGTCTCCAGGATCACGCCCTGGGCCAAAGGCAGGCGCTAAACCGCTGCGCCACCCAGGGATCCCCCCAACAACCCAATCTTTACAAAGTGACGGGTCTCACCTTGAATCTCCATCTCGTGACAACCACAAATTTGAGCGTGTGGTCCTTGCCCAGGATTTCCTCATTGCATAAAATGTCCAGCTGGTGGGAGAAGAAGGCTTCAGTCAGGGCGCCCAGAGCACGGCGCTCAGCACGCCTGGCCCCGGCACTGTGCCTGCCAGCCAGGGGCACACGTGTCGCCTGCGGGTGACGGGTCCTGTTTCCAGGTGGCACAGGTGGGAGTGCTTGGAAGGCCCCGCCCCAACCCACCCAAGGGTGGAAAGCACCCGGAATCTGGACTCACACCCCCCAGGTCCCCTGCCCCAGGCCCTTGGCTGCTGTCACCACAGTACCTGTCTCCCCACCTCAGTCCAACTCTTGGCCGAGCGTGTCCCTCTTACCTCAGTGAAAAAGGAAATGGGCTCTTCAGATGGTCTTTCTCCTTTATTTTTTAAAAAGACTATTTTTAGAGCAGTTTTAGGGTGAGGGCAATACTGAGAGGGAGGTGCAGAGGTCTCCCATGTGCCCCCATCCCCCCCAACCCGCACCGGAGTGGGTGTGTCATGGAGACACGTGGTCCTCACCCAGGCCACAGACGGCATCAGGGTCACCCCCTGGGCTGCGCACTCATGGCAGGTGCCCCCCGCGGTATCCCAGGGCGCGGCGTCATAGCCCCAAGGCCGCCGTCCTCCCCCCCCCCCGTTCACCCCCCAGCCCCGACCACCGCTGACCCTGTCACTGTCCCCAGAGGTCCGCCTCTTCCAGAAGGTCCCACGGCGGGAATCGGGACTGCTTTCCCTTAGTGATATGCACTTAAGGTTTTCGTGGCTCGATAGCTCGTTTCTCGTTAGCATGAGTAACACCCCACCGCCTGGGCGGAGCACAGTTTATCCGCTCACATGCTGGAGGACGTCCTGGTGTTTTCAAGTTTGGCAATTACGAACAAAACTGCTATAAACATCTGCATGAGGCTGTTGGTGTGGACGTAAGGATTCGGTTAATTCGGATGAACACCAAGGCGTGTGACTGCTGGACCTCGTGGGCAGAGCGTATTTACTTTTGTAAGAAACTGCACCGTTCTACAGCGTCCACGGGGTTCATCCAGGTGGTGGCAGGTGGCAGTCTCCTTCCTGCTTAAGGCTGAGTAACACTCCTCGTATGGATTGTGTTTATCATTCCATCCGTCCGTCCATCCATCATCCATCTGCTCGTCCATCCATCCATCCGATCATCCATCCACCATATGTCTGCTGTCCATCCATGCATCCACTCATCCATCCGCTAGTCCGTCCATCCATCCATCCATCCCTCCGTCCATACGTCTGTTCATCCATCCATCTATTCATCCTCCTGTCTATCCATCCAATCATCCATTTGTCCATCCATCCGTCCGTCCATCCATCCATCCATCCGTCCACCCATCCCTGGACACGTGGGTGCTTCCACATCTCAGTGGCCGTGACTGTGGGGGCCCTGCCCTTGGCTCTGGGAACCTGCTCAGACGTGGAAGGGCTGGGCCATGTGGTAATTCTGTGTGTTTTTGAGGCCCGTCCACGCTGTCTTCCACAGTGGCTGCACCCTGTTAACACCCCCTGCCCCCCTCCATGGTGCACAGGGTTCCAGTTTCCTCACATCCTTGCCACTTCTATCTTCTTGTTATTTACTTTTTTTTTAAAAAGATTTTATTTATTTATTCATAGACACAGAGAGAGAGGCAGAGACACAGGCAGAGGGAGAAGCAGGCTCCATGCAGGGAGCCTGATGTGGGACTCGATCCCGGGTCTCCAGGATCACACCCCAGGCTGCAGGCGGCGCCAAACCGCTGCGCCACCGGGGCTGCCCTTTTTTTTTTTTTTTTTTTTAACAGTAGCCATCCCTGTAGGTTATGAGGTGGTTCCCAGTAATGACAGTGACACTGAGCATACTTTCACGGCTACTGGCTGTGTGTGCCTTCTTGGGAGAAATGTCTAAGCCCTTTGCCCATTGTTAAAGCGGGTTGTTTGGTTTCTTTTACGCTACATTTTAGGAGTCTCTATATACTCTGGATAGTAATCCCTTATCAGGTGTATGGCTTGCAAATAATTTCTCACATTCCGTACAAAATTTTTTTATTTTCAAAAAAGTCCAATTTGTCTACTTTTTTTCTTTTGTTGACTGTGCCTTGGCTGCCCTAGCCAAGAAATCATTGCCAAATCCAGTGTCCTAAAGCTTTTGTCCTATGTTTTCTTCTAAGAGTTTCATTGTTTTAGGTCTGACATTTAGGTCCCTGATCTACTTCAACTTCTGCACATGGTGTGAGGCAGGGGTCCAATGTCATTCTCCTGCATGCTGACATGCAGTCTCCCCAGCAGTTTGTTGAAAAGCCTGTCCTTTCCCCATTAAGTGGTCTTGGCACCCTTGTTGAACATCACTTGACCACCTACGTGAGGGTTCATTTCTGGGCTCTCTATTCATTCCATTGATCTAGAGGGCTGCCTTTATGCCAATATCACACTTTTTGATTAGCGTAGCTTCATAGTAAAACCTGAAATTAGGAAGTGTAGGTCCTTCAGTTATGTTCCTTTTCAAGATTATTTCAGCAACTTGGGGTCCCCTGAGATTTCATATAAAATTTAGGATGGGTTTTTAAATTTCTGCAAAAGATATCATTGGGATTTTGATAGAGATAGCTTTGACTAAAGATTGCTTAGGTAGCATTGACATTTTAGCAACATTAAGTCTTCCAATCCGTGAACTTGGGACGTGTTTCTATTTGTTTGTTTGTTTGTTTATTTATAAAGATTTTTATTTATTTATTCATGAGAGACACAGAGAGAGAGAGGGAGAGAGAGAGGCAGAGACACAGGCAGAGGGAGAAGCAGGCTCCATGCAGGGAGCCCGACTCGGGACTCGATCCCGGGTCTCCAGGATCACGCCCTGGGCTGAAGGTGGCGCTAAACCGCGGCGCCACCCGGGCTGCCCATTTCCATTTATTTATGCCTTCTTTAATTCCTTTCAGTAATTTTTGTAGTTTTCATTGTACTAGTCTTTCACCTTCTTGGTTAATTCTTAAGTATTTTATTCTTTTTGATGTGATTGTAAATTGAATTGTTTTTTTTATAATTTCCTTTTCAGATTACTCATTACTAACGTACAGAAATGCAGCTGATTTTTGTGTTGACTTTTGTCTTGCTATCTTGCTGAATTCGTTTAGTAGTTGTAACGTGTCTGTGTGTCATCTCTGAGATTTCCTTTTTTTTTTTTTTTTTTTAAAGAAAAAGCCTGCTTTTATTGATGCACCCATAGACAGACCCACAATTTGAAAGGGACAGCGACCCAAACATGACACTCGTGGTGAACGCAACTGAAACACAAGGGGCAGAAGATGGCTTTACAGGGCCACATGCCTCCTAAGTTAGGGATGGCTTCTGCTATCATCTTGTCTTTGAAAGGGGAGAGCTTGCCGACGCCTAGATTCTGCTCCATGCCCTTGACCCCAGCAGCATCGGTGTGGAGCAAGAGGTGGTCTGCTTCCTGGGACTTACCGAAGGAAGAACAACTTCCTTTCTGTTCGTTGCACCCACAAGGGAGAAGACAAAGCAGGCTCCAGCATATGCCATGGACAAGGTGGCAGCGCCTGCCCCAGCTCTGGCCTTCACCATCTCCGTGCTGGCCTCCTGGATTGCCCAGGGAACAGCCATCAGCTAGTCCTGAGGAAGGTCCACTTTGAGGGTGCACTGAGAGATCGGGGGACGACAGTCTCTCCAGCATGGCCGCCAACGAGCCAATGACAGGAACGTTGAGTCGAGCGGGATCCAAACCCTTCAGCTCTACAAAGTGCTGACTCTGACAATGTCCAAGGTCGCCACCTCGAAGATTTTATTGGGGTTCTATGCTCTGTGTTTCTTGAAAACTTTTGTTGTGATTGGGATGGTGGAGTTTAGTGGATTTGCAGTGATGTAGCTCGCGGCCTCAGGTCAGGGTTGGGTGCAGGAGGCAGGCAGGGCGACCACAACTGGGGCACCGGCGTTGACCAGGTCACCCCGTGGCAGGCCTGGTTTTTCCTGGGACTCCTGCTGGAATAACCACCACATCTCGGCCTTTTAGATGGTCAGTCAGCTGCTTAGGTCCGAGGTAGCCTCTCCCGGGTGCCCTGGCCTCAGATCTGCGGCCATCCCGGGCATACAAGCACTGTCGTAGAGGGTCAGGCGGCTGACAGGCTGCGCAGTTCCTCCGAAAGCCCCCAGCACAGCTCTGTTAGCATTTTCTGGGCCGACAGCGGGGTGGGCGAGGGCGGAGAGCGTGGCTGGAGCGGGCGGGCAGCGGACCGGCAGGCAGGTGACACCACGACCTCCACCTCTTTGGGATTTCCCACATTAAGATCACATCATCGGCAAAGAGAGGGACGCTCACTCCTGCATCTTCCGTGTGGAACCCCTCCATCCCCTGCCCGCTCCCAGCAGGACACCTACAGGACCACGTGGAACAGAGGTGGTGGCAGCAGCATCCCCACCTTGCTCATCTCAGAGGAGACGCCTTCAGTCTCACGTCGCATCGGACATCTCCCGGGGTCTTCTACGTGCTTTAGTGTGTGCAGGCGCTTCCCTTGGGTCCCTGGTTCGTGGGGTGTTTTTATGTGGACGCGTGCTGAGTGGTCACAGGCCTGGAGACCAGCCTCAGCGGCAACGATCCAGGGTCCCCCCCTCCACTCTCCGATGCGCGTGTCACATGATCCGTGTCACATGTCCTACCCGACCGCGCCGGCGTTCCAGGAAGAGTCCCCCTTGGTCGTGGGGTACAGCCCTCTGGACGCGCCGCTACCCCGGTTGCTGGGAGGCGGTCACAGATGTCGGGCTCCGGTTTTCCTTTCGGACGGTGTCTCCGTGTGGCTTTGGTACCCGGCTGACGCTGGCCTCCCAGAATGAGTCGGGAAGCTTCTCTCCCCCTCAGGCTTTGGGAAGAGTTGGCAAGGACGTTGGGAGAACCACCTGCGAAGCCGCAGGTCCTGGGCTCTCCTCCGCAGGGCGGTGTCGGATCCTGATCCGGGCTCCGTACCAGTCGTAGGCCTGTTCACACCCGGCGTCCCCGTGACTCGGTCTCGGAGGTTCTGTGTTTGCCGCCCTGCGTCCCCTCATCCCAGTTATCCCGGGTGCTGGTGTTCAGCTGTTCACAGGACGCTCTGACGACCCCTTCTATTTCTGCACAATCAGTAACAATGCCTCTGCTTTCATTTCAGATTTTAGTAATTTGTCTTTTTTCTTATTCCATTAGCTAGAAGTTTGTCAAAACTTTAAAATAATATGTTCTTTAAAGATTTTATTTAAAAGACAGTGCACACAAGCTGGGGGAGGACAAGCAGACTCCACACTGAGCACACAGCACCCCACACGGCTTCGTTCACGACCCTGAGATCATGACCGGAGCTGAAATCAAAAGTCGGAGGCTTAACCAGCTGAGCCCCCTCAGCTGGTTTATTGACCTTTCCAAAGAATTGAATTTCTCTATTGTATTCTGTTCTCGATTCCATTTATCTCTGCTTTGATCTTTATTATTTCCTTCCTTCTGCTGGCTTTGGGTGCAAAGCTTTGTTCTTTTTCTAGTTCTATGTTGTTGATGAGACCTTTCTTGTCTTTAACGTAAGTATTTATGGTTATAAACTCCCCCCCTTAGGATTGCTTTTACTGTAAACTACAGGTTGAGAAGTCGTGTTTTCATTTTTATTTGTCTCTAAGTATTCTCCAATTTCTCTTGGATCCGTTAGTTGTTTAAAAGTGTGTTGTTTAGTGGCGCCTGGGGGCTGGCCAGGAGTCTGCTCAGGTCCTGATGCCCAGGTCCTGGGACGAGCCCCACGTCGGACTCCCCGCTCAGTGAGGAGCCTGCTTCTCCCTCTGCCCCTCCCCGCACTCGTGTGCTGTCTCTCTCTCTCATACTTTTTCCCTCTCAAATAAATAAATCTTAAAGAAAAGTGTGCGATTGAATTTCCACGGTATTGTGAACCTGCCAGGTTTCCTCCTGTAACCGTCTCTGACTGTGTGCTGCTGTGGTCAGAGACGACGCTCTGAGGCAAGTCTGTGTCTGCCCTCCTCTTATAAGGACCTTTTTGCCACTGAATTTAGGGCCCAGCTGGATGATCCAGGATGATCTCAAGGTTCGTGACACATCCACAAAGACCTTTGTTCAAATAAAGCCACATTCACATTGTTCTGGGCGTTAGGAAATGGATGTAGGTGTTGGTGGGGTCACCGCGTGGCCCACTATGGTCTGCCTTCTGGTCCCTCGGATCCACATCCATCTCACGTGCTCGGTGCACTCGCCCCATCTCCACATGTCAGCGTAGTGTTGCCACCTCAGGAGGGCCCCCCAGTGACACCCGAGCCGACAGGCTCACCCAGCCTTCTGTCCACCCCCTGCACACACCAGGGGCTCCGGCTTTCACTTAATTACCATCATTTACCACCAAATACCTGAAAGTATCTTACTAATCTGCCCACTTATTCACCCTTCCCGCAGCCAGTCGTCCGTCCATTTGTGGATGACGAAGAATAGCCTCTCTTCCAGAGGAACACCCTCTCCCTGCCACCCCGCCAGCTGTCCCTCCTGGTAAGGGGCTCCCCTGCTCGCGTCTGGCCTTCCCTCCACGCTCTTCACCACCACGTCCCATCACACTGGCAGGGAGCATGCACAACAAATGGAGATTTTTTTTCTGACTTAAAATCTCCAAACAAAGATATAAAAACAAAAATACCAAAGAACTTTAGGAGTATCACTGTTACAAATGAGAAACGATTTGTTATAGTTTCTATTGGTGGTGTTGTTCCTACCTCATTGAAAGACGAAAGGTTAAGTTTTTTGGCGATGAACTTCTTCAGGTGCAGGACCGTGGCCTGGGCCGAGCAGCGGATCCACTTCCGTTTCAGGCCGCGTAGTTTGCTGCTGTTGCACTCCAGACAGATGCTCACCTGTGAGAGGAGGACACGGCTGGCAGGCTCGCTCAGATGTTAGATGTGACAACGCTGACCTTGTGAAATCAGAAGTCGCTTTGGGCCTCAGCACCGTGGGAAAGGGTTTTACTTCATCATTTCATACACATTATCTTAAACTCTGTTTACTGTTTTGTGAAACATAATCGAACGCTGTTAATTTTGTCTTATCAACGTAGTACTTCAAAGTAACTTCGGGAATTATTTGTTCATGGTACACACAACACTGGTCTCGCCTCGGAGGTAAACTGCCACAGACTGAGCCCTGTCCCGAGCTCCTGGCTGGTGGGACGCACACAGTCAGGCTGCGAGGAGCACCTGCTGGCGTGAGGAGGAAGGACGCAGAGCCAGCAAGGCGGGCGCCCCTGACTGTGCACGGATGCACTGAGGAAGGCTTTGTAAAGGAAGCAGTAGGACAACTGCCCTTGAAAGAAGACGGCAGGGGCCCCTGGGTGGCTCAGCAGTTGAGCGTCTGCCTTCCGCTCAGGCCCCGACCCTGGAGTCCCGGGATCGAGTCCCGCAACAGGTTCCCTGCAGGGAGCCTGCTTCTCCCTCTGCCTGTGCCTCTGCCTCTCTGTCTGTGTGTGTCTCTCATGAATAAATAAATAAAATCTTAAAAACACACACAAAAAAACAGGACAGCAGAGTCTTGAGAGAAGAAAGTACTCTGGCCTCAGGAAAAAACCACAAGCAAAGGCACAAAGTTGGAAAGTTCGCAGTTACCTCCCGGACAATCAACAATTCAGTGGGGTCACAGTATGTGGCGTGTGACAGGGACTGCGAGGTAACCAAGTAAGAGGGGACCAGGGGTGCCCGGCAGAGGCAAAGAAGGACCCCAGGCCGTGCAGCCTGGCTCAAGAGAACCCTCATGAACGAGTAATTCTCCAGGAACAGCCACAAAAACAAGGCACAATCAGACCTCCCAAAATTCAGGTAAAAGGAAGAATAGAGGAGGGGCACCCAGGGCCTCAGTTAGTTGCATGTCTGACTCTTGATTTCAGCTCAGGTCATGATCTCAGGTTTGTGGGACTGAATCCTGCTCAGGCTCCGTGCTGGGCATGGGGTCGGCTTGAGAGTCTCTCTCTCTCTGCCCCTGCCCCCTGCCCACATGTTCTCAAAACAAAACAAAACAAAACAGAGAAATTAACTAAAATCTGTAGGTCTAAAATTACTAGAGATACAAAAGAAGGAATTTTTTTTTTTTTCAAAAGAAGGAATTAAATACATAATACACTTTGGATAAAACCAGGCAGGTGTAAAAGGTAACTAAATACACCTTCTAAGCCTCGTGGTGGCTGAATCACAGAGGAAGACAGACCGATTTCATGAAAAACCAACTTGAGGAAATTATCTAAAAGAAATACAGAGACCAAGATGTCAATTAAAATAACAAGACAAAGAAGAGGGAAAAGGGAGGGATGTAACGCACCTGGGACAGGTGTTCTCAAGGAAGGGAGAACTGGGGACAGAAGTAACAGCTGAAGATCAAAATGGTGGAGGACGTAAACTCTCAAATTTAGGAAGCCAAAGGATCCAAAACAAATGAAATACAGGAAAGCTACACCTACAGAGACGTGGGGAAGGCGGGGAGGTGGGGAGGCGGGGAGGCGCCAGGAAGGAGCAGCGGGTGTCCCCAGCCGGGCTGCCGTGCCTGGAGCCCCGCAGGAAACGCGCAGAGATGAGCACGGTAAGCGACACAGACCCCGGGGAGGAGGGGGCGGCTGAGGAAAAAGACCCCCGTTGGGGAGGCAGGCACGGGCCCCAGGTGGGCGAGCGAGGCCCTCGTGTTGTTGGGGCAAACCAAGAGACTCATTAACATCAGACCTTTAAAAAAATGTAAACATTCATTTTAGAATTTCACAGCCACTAAAATAATAAAAATAGGGCCTGTAACTTGCCAGGTAGTTGCTAAACAGACACAAAAAAGAGATTGAAGAACACGAGTTCAGTAGAAGGCAAGAATGGGGGAAGATAAAAAACTATCAGTGCAAAGTGCAAATAGATTCAGAATTACCACCAATCATGGTAAATGTAAAATAACTTGTCAGTTAAAGAAATTTTCTCATTGGATTTTCTAAAAAAAAATTCAGTTCTGTGCCAACATGAGTGTCGTAGTTAAGTTGGGAAAAAAAAATTGAAATACCAGGCAACTCTTAACCAGAAGCGAGCTGACCCAGCCAACCAGGTGAAGGAGACTTCCAGAAAGAGAGCTTCCTAGCAGAACGCTCCCCGAGAAACGTCTCTGACCCGGAAGGCACTCGGGACACGCTCGGGCTGGCGGGAGGCGGAGGCACCGTGACCCCCACGACGGGCAGCCGTGTGCTCCTGGGACAGCCACCCCGGTCCGAGCCCGCGGCGCCGCGCAGGCCACGAGGCGGTAAGCAGGGCAGCTCCAGCAGAGGCCGCAGGGGCCAGAGGGGGCCGGCCCACAAGAGGCTCAGAGACACGCGGCCTGCGTCCCCGGCTGGACGAGGACCAGACGGCCAGGATTGAGGGGAGGGGAGGGGCGGGGGGACCGGAGGCTGGGTTCACCCCCCCTCAGGTTTGTGTGGACTTGTGCGGGCGGCGGGGACGGTGGCACGGTGGTGCTCCCGTCGCGTTACGGCGTTTGCCGTCCCCGCCGGCCCTAAGGACACGGGTGTGTCGCCAGGCTAACTACACCAGATCAGCCTGGAGGAAGTACCAGGGGCGTGGGGCAGCTCGCGACCCCCAGCAGCCAGGCCTAGGTCAGGCCCTCGGCCAGCCCTCCCCTCCCCGTCCCGCCCCAGCCACCTCCCATCTCCACGATGGGCCTTCCGGGGACACCGTGTCTCAGCGGATCACACGACACGCCGTCGCCCGCACCGGTCACTGGTCACCGCGGGCCACAGCGCCCGCGTGGGGGACCGCACGCCGTCTCCCCGAGGCCTGGCTGCCGTGAGCAACGGGGCCGTTTCCACACACGCAGGGAGACCCGGATGCGCAGGGTTAGTTTGTGTCTGACTCGCCACGCAGCTCCCGCAAGCGGCTCAGCCCTTTACACTCCTGCCAGCTCCCGCGCCAGCCCCGCCAGGCCCCGGCCCTCTGACCCAGCCGACCCCGTGGGCATCACGGTTTGGTTTCGGCTCCCTAACGACTCAGGATGCCGAACAGCCCTCACGTGATTATTAACCAGGAGCAACGTTCACGGACGTGGTTCACCCACCTCTCAGCGGGGTTATCTCCTCACCCAGTTACACGACACGCGTGTTCTACACACAGGTCCTTTACCAGAACGTGATTTGCAAGTATTTTCTCCCAGTCTGCAGCCGGTCCTTTCACTTGACAAAAGCCACTCGTTTTTCTTCCGTGGGCTGTGTTGAACGTGAGAACTCTAGGCCTAGCCCAAGGCCCTAAAGATTTTCTCTCTTTCGTGTTTCCCCGTAAAAGTTTTGAAGTTTCACATACTCTTATATTCTGGGCTGTTACACGTGGTGTGAGATGAGGACGTCCGTCCGTCCAGGGTGTGGACACCCAGCCGTCCACCACCCCCTGCCCCCAGTGCCCTCCCTTGGCTCCTTCACTGAAAACCAAATACTACAAATCTAAGGGCTTATTTCTAGGCTTTGTTCTATTTCTGCAATTTGTTCTACTCACTCACTCATCTACTTAATGCCTCGAACGTAATGTCTCGACTACTGCAGCTTTTTAGCGGGATGTGAGGTTTAGAATTTTCTACATAGATTTCTAAGAAATAACCCATGGGTCAAAAAAGAAATCATAATGAAAATTTAAAAATACTTAGAACCAAAGGAATATATATGGGAACTATGTGGATATTCAACTCAAGAAGCCAGGAAAGGCACCAAGGGTGAACGCAGGGACAGCAGAGGGAAGTGAGAGCATGAGGCGTCCGGCAGGGACGACCCGAACACAAGGCAGAAACGTGGTCTTAGCAACAGGGACAGAGAGCGCGGAGTCGTGGTAAAGCCCCGTTTCTCGCAGCGACACTCGGGCCGGGGGGGGGGGCGGGGGGGGCAGGCGTGTTACCCAAGAGCGCCGGGTCGGACACGAGCACCTGGCGGACGGGCACGGGCCCGGAGGAAGGGAAGGCAACTTCGCCAACGCTACCTTTTCCCAAAGTAACCCTGAGCCCACCCTCTGTCGCTCTCAGAAAGGTCTCTGTGGGTCGCCCACGCAGCGTGGCACGTTGGTTTCTAATTGTTATTTCGAAGAGCAAAAGGCAAGATTAGTCAAGATTATTTTGAAGAAGAAAAATTAGGAGTATCCACAAGTCAACATGTGACTGTGGTTTTGGCACCAGCACAGACGACAGGGCCGTGGCGAGGACAGACCCGAGCACGGACAGAGCGCAGGCGGGGCGAAGGTCCTCAGCAGGAGGGGAGCCGGGGGACGCGGAGGAGCCCACCCGGAGGACGAGAGGCTCGCCCTGCCGCCCTGCCGCCCACGATCACCGCTGCTGGCCTACGACCTCACTGTAGAAAGGGGAACTTTAAAACAGCTCGTAAGATAACGTCAGAACACGTTTAGAACCTTGGGTGTGGAGATTTCCTGAGATACCGGAGGAAACGAGGATGGTTTTAATTACTTTGACCCAAAGGCTCCGAATAATGACAAGCGTCGACTCGAGACAAGCAGGCCCCAGACGGCTCTCGGGGAGAGCCAGGCCACCCGGCGCACCAAGTCCACGGCGGAGTAGGCGACTTAACGAAACGCAGAAGAACCAGGAAAACCAAGAAACACTTGAGGGGACGTTCGGCACGACCGGAGCACACGCGAAGACAGGACTGAGGAAGAGAAGCGGGCGACCCGTCCGGGGACCGCACGTCCTGGCAGGGACAGGCCCAGCGAGGCCTCGGCAGCTGCTCAGAACCTGGGTCTCAGGGTCACAGCGACTGGCCCCTCGGCCCGAGCGTCCAGCAGGCAGGGACACGGCACAGCCCGAGCGCAGCACACGGACGCCGCGTGGCATCAGCACCAAGTCCCCGCGTTACACTCAAGGTTCTCACAACTGGGACTGGGACTGACAGGCAGTCGTAGAAAGACGCATGTTCCGTTTACGCGGCTTATGGCTACAGATACGGACGTGAAGCCCCGGCCCAGCCGGGCACAGCCCCTGCTCTCGGGGGAGAGCCCCAGCCCCCAGCACAGCCCCGCTGCCCGGTCCCCTGCCCCAGGGAGCCCCGGCACCCCTGCTCCCTCCTCCGCGGGCCCTGCTTGGCCGCCCGCCCTCCCTGCCCTCCCCTTGGACAGCCTCCCTTGCTGCTCCCTGGCTGGGGGCCCAGAGGAGGGTGCTTGGGTCTGCGGGCTGTCCCGCGGGGCTGAGGCTCGTGCGGGCCGAGTGCTGCCCCCAGCCATGGCGGCGAGTGGGTGCGTGCGCTTGCTGAGCAACAGCCCAAAGCCCTCACCTGGCGGCTCCGTCGTTGTGGGGGGGGGACCCCCCCACAGGTCACGGGCACCTCTGGGAACACCTGACAGCCCATTTGCTCAGAAGCAGGCCCTAGAGGAGGACCAAATTCTTCTGCTTAAAAGTAGGTGTAGGGGAGCCTGGGGGCTCCGTCAGTGAAGTGCCTGCCTTCAGCTCAGGTCATGATCCCGGGTCCTGGGATCCAGGCTCACGTGCGGCTCCCTGCTCAGCAGGGAGTCTGCTTCTCCCTCTCCCACTCCCCCTGCTTGTGTGCTCTCTTGCTCTCAAATAAATAAAATCTTTAAAAAAAGAAAAAAAGTAGGTGTATATTCTAATTTTCTTGTGTTTGCTTCAGTGACTCATCAGAGCTACAGAATGTAGCCTTTACTGCAGGCCCACCTGGCAGAGCTGGGGTGGGGGGTGCGGTCTTGTCCCAGGGAAAGAGACTGAGCTGCTCTGGGGGAGGCGGGGGGGACGGGACAGGGCTGGGGGGGGGCACAGGAAGGGGGCTGGGGATGGGGCAGGGGAGTGGGGAACGGGGGACGGGAGACAGGGATGGGTGCAGGGACGGGGCGGGAATGGGGACAGGATGGGGGAGACGGGGATGGGGGGTGAGGGTGGAGACGGAGCAGGGATGGGGGGGATGGGGATGGGGCTGGGGCAGGCACCGAGCACCAAGGTGGCCGAGCAACACCTGCGGCTTGACTGCGGATGAGGACGAGCTGCCCGGAATGTCACAGGCGCCCTGTCCGGAGTGCGTTCAGAACAGAGCCAGGTGCTTTGAGGCTCAAGGACAGCAAAGCCTGACAAGCATCGCGGCGAAGTCCAGTTTTGTTCTGAGAAGTTACAGATGCCAACTGACTCTGCAAACGGACATAAAATAGACATTTAAGCGCGCCTGACACTGCTCCTAGAGAACCAGATGAGAAACTCGAACTCCAAACGGCAGGAGAGGACGACGGAGGGCACTTGGGAGAAGGCACGAGAGGGGCGGGCGGGGAAGTGGAGGCCCAGGAGCCCCGCGCACGCAGCCGAGGGCAGGAACCGCGTGCACACACACGGCGGCCACGAGGACGGACTGAGTCAAGAGGCCAGGAAGATTCATTAAGCCAAAGATGGACTCTTTTGAAAGCAATTAATCAAACAGACGAATCCTCGGCACGTGGAGGATAAAAAAGGCAAAAATTATTGACAATAAACTGCGGAAATGTAAGGAGCAATGAAGGGAAAACTAAGCTGGGGATGGGGCCGGCGAGGGAGCCCTCTGCCCACCGGGCCGCCTGTCCTCCACTGGCCCCAGGGGCACCGACCACACCTCTACGTCCACACACCGTTTCGCTCCCAGAGATCTCGACCAGAACCGTGTCATCCGAAGACTCAGACCCTGTTATTCTGTTCTTCCCAAACCACACTACTTAAATCACATACTTAACACACACGTGCACACGTACACACGTAAAGCTGCACCTACCAGCACACGTGCACACACACCCGGACGCGGCCAACGCCCGTCTGCACGGCTGTCCTGAGCGCTTCCTCCCCCAGATGCTCTACGTGCACAGTTAGAGCCACAACCACCGAGGCTCATCTGGCGAGGACACACCTTGCCCTCCCGTGATCCGGGGTCCCTCTTACGTGTTCTCTACGTTCTTCCCACCCGCGCCCACGGATTCCGCAGGCTGATCTTTCCCCCCCGTGAGCAGCCAGTGCCAAGCGCCCGCCGCCGGGGTCCCTGCCGCCGACGCGGGGGACGGGGACGCAGGGGCGGCGCTCTGCTCGCGCGCACGGCTCCTCCGCCCACCACCTCAGCGCGGGACCCAGAGCCACGCCGAGCACAGCTGGGAAGGTGCCTCCTGTGTCCTAACGCCAGGGCCCCGCTGTCAGTGGATGCGCCGCAGCCCTCCGCTCAGGGTGCTGGGAGGCGCGGCACACATGGACTGGGACGGGAGCGCACACTCGCTGCTCCCTCTGATCTGGCGAAGACGCCTCGGGGCTGTCTGCTTCCTTCCCTGTGACACGCGACCCAACTGGACCCCGTCGTACGGGATTCGCGACGCGCACGGAAAGGCGCCCGGCGCCAAGCGACCCCACCTGGGGAGTCGTGTGCAGGGTCTGGGCTTCAATTCTTTTACGTTCAGGATGTTTCAGAGCAAGCACATGTTTCTCTGCCAACTAAAAGGAACAGATAAGGAAGGAGAAACTAAGGAGACGTGTTGGCACTTGGCCGCGTCTACTTCCTTGGCGACTGGCCTTTTCTTCAGAAACGGAGGCAGGCCCCACGGCGGGCGTCGGCGCCTCTCCTGCCGTCTCGTGCCGCGCGGGCTCACACCCAGGCCAACACCGTCTACCTGCTCGTCGCTTCGGTGGTAGTCGTTGTCCTCCTCCTGCTTCTCCTCTGCTGCTTCTTTGTTCGAACTGTCATCTGCTTTGGTTTCACCTTTCAGCAAAAACAGAAGACACTGGGTTACAAATCCAGAACGTTAAACCGTTATCTTTCTATCTTTCTAACGTTAAACCAATATTTTTCTAACCGTACGGTATGGTCAAAATGCTACAAAGATTCATCCAAATAAGACAGTTGCGCCTTTAAAGGGATACGTAACTGGGGCAGCTGGTCTACGATGCACCTGCTAAAACGCCGCGGGGCCCGAGAGCCTGCGGCCAGCTGTACGTGGTCCAGGGGCGTGTGCACCAGGGCGCGGCAGGCCGAGGCCACCTGGGCCGGCGGACGGCGGAGAGCCCTCGCGCCCGGTACTGTTCAACGCCTCGTACACCAACTACCGACTGGGTGACGCACGGCTCCTACGACCTCTAGGGTTCCAACACCCCTTTTGGAACAAAGACCCCATCGAAAGCAAGTGGCTGGGACGAGATCCCCGGCCTCACACGCCGTCCCCGATGGCACCCCCTGCCTCGGCCGCCCCCCACCGTTCTGGGGCCAGCCGTGACCTGTGCTTTCTTGCACCGTGGTCAGAAACACACAGGGCAGTCTGGAACCCTGAGGAACCGCTGTGGTCACTGGGAAAACAGCACGGCACCAAACGTCTGAGTAACTGTTAAATACAGCTGGACCTTACACCACCACTGATTCTACGCGGAGCCCAGGCACTGTTGGGCCGCCCCCATCAGGGCAGACGGGACTGGGCGCCTCTCGGGGCCCCTGCATGGCACCTCACTCCCAGTCCCTGGGAATCCCACCCTGTCACCCAAAGGGACCCTGGTCCAGGACCCGGTCCTCACGCCGCCCCACGAGCACCACACCAAAGCCCGGGGGGTGCCCAGGATGGTGGGCAGCAGGCACACCGGCCACTCACCGTTCCGATGGGGGTCGAGGTGCTGCTTTGCAGAACAGGTCTCCCCCTTGACGTCTCCGGGCACCTCCATGCCTAACTTGTGGTAGAAGTCCCTCTGCTTCCTCATTTCCGCTGTTGGAAACAAACATGTGCTCAGTGTCAGGAAGGCACCAGGGCCCATCAGGGCCCCACTCACGAGCATTGCAGCAAACGACAACCTGGATCCGGGGGCCTCGACGGCTGCCACCAGGAGACCCATCGGGGTGGCCACGCTCCCGAGCGTGCAGGGGAGGCCGTGCAGCAGCAGGAGCCCCCAGTCCGAGTGTGCGCACCCGCGAGACCCCTGCCCCAGACCCAACATCGGGGTGGCCACGCTCACGAACCTGCAGGGGAGGCCGTGCAGCAGCAGGAGCCCCCAGTCCGAGTGTGCGCACCCGCGAGGCCCCTGCCCCAGACCCAACATCGGGGTGGCCACGCTCACGAACCTGCAGGGGAGGCCGTGCAGCAGCAGGAGCCCCCAGCCCGGGTGTGCACACCCGCGAGACCCCCCACCCCCGCCCCCGAGACTCAAGACAGCTGCTTCCGGCAGATGGTGTCTGCCCCATGCTCCCCGACTCTGCGGTGGCACAGGGATCTGGGGCTCAGGCCTGCCCGCCCGCCGACCCTCAGTGGGTGAGGAGCGCCCCCTGCTGCCTGAGGGCGGCCACCACAGCCGGGAGGTCCCTAAGGTGCAGAGGCCGGCACCACAGGCTCCCAGCAGCAGGCTCCCAGCCTCGCTCCCCGCGGGCGGCAAGCCGGCCAGAGCAGCTCCCCGAGCACAACGGGCCGGGCGCCTTCTGACAGCAGGCGGCCGCCCCACGACTTTTAGCACAAAGGGACTCTAAAGCCTGCGCCCAGACAACAGAGCAGCCGGTCATTGCTCAGGCCACACAGCAGATGACAAGGAAAATCTGTTTGCTTTTATTCTAAATATTTATTTGAGCGAGAGAGAGAGAGAGAGAGAGAGAGAGAGGAGGGAGGGCACACAAGCAGGAGGCAGGCAGAGAGAGAAGCAGACTCCCTCCCCGCTGCCGCTAAGCAGGGAGCCCGATGTGGGACTCGATCCCAGGACCCAGGATCACGGCTGAGCCGCAGAAAGACGCTCAACCAGAGCCACCCAGGGGCCCCAACAAACAAAATTTAAACCCAAGTTGTTCCAACTAGTAACGTAAGACTCACCCCATGAAACACACTTGTGTACGGCTAACCCTGTGGTACCCGGTCGCGCTGCCCACCTGCCCCTCGTCTGCCCCGTGCGCCACGTGCTCCACGGAGCCAGGGAGACGCGTCCCCATCCTGGACCAATGCCGACACCTGGCAGCCCAACCCTGCAAGAGCGCGGGCACAGGGGGCAGCGGGCGGAAGGAGGACGGCCCTCGAACTCGGGGACGGCGCTGCTGGCCTAGACGGATGGGGCGCTGGAATCACGTGTGCCAAGTGCCCAACCAGGCTGGTCTGGTAAATTTGGGATTGGCTTGGAAAGAAATTAAATAATCCTATAAGAGCTGGCTCGGGAATAAATGTGTGAAATGCACTGCGTGGCGGTGAGGCCGTCCCCCAGGCTCTCCAAGGCGGTGCGCTCCTGCGGGTCCGCGCCAGAGGAGTCTCCCCTCGTGGAAATGAGGCAGCCTCACGTACCTTGTGTAATTCTCATTAAGAATTCTTCAGCCATCAGAATGGAAAAAAGATGGAAAATAACAATATTCCACGTCAGGAAGACACCAGCATAGAGACGTTCCGGGCTAAGTGTGCAGCACGGTAACCCGCAGCTAGAACCACGGGGCCTCAGCTGCTCGCCCCCACGTGCTGCTGGTGAGCTATCGGACAGCAAGCACCTCACTGCTGCGTAAGGAGAGGGTCGCGCGCCCAGCGGAGGCCTTCAGGCCACACACTAGACGCAGGGCCGGGCGAGCCGGGGCAGCAAGGAGGGAGATCTGCTGCCCTGGGTAAGAGTACGCGCCATCACTCAGCAGAACCCTGTGCAGCCATCGAAGACGACACGGACCTGGGCGCCTCGGCAGCTCTTCATCTCAGTCCAGGTCGGGTTTTGGTTCGTTTATTTATTCATGAAAGACACAGAGAGAGCCAGAGACACAGGCAGGGGGAGGAGCGGGCTCCCCCCAGGCGCCCTCAGCTCAGGTCTTGGTCTCAGGGTTGAGTTCAGCCCCACACTGGGCTCCGTGCTGGGCGTGGAGCCTACTTAAAAAAAAAAAAGATACAGGTCTTATTTTTTTTAAGATTTATTTTAGAGAAAAAGAGCTCATGCGTGAGCAGGGGAGCGGTATGGGGAGAGGGGGAGAGAGAATGTCAGGCAGCTTCCATGCTGCGCACGGAGCCTAACACGGGGCTCGATCCCATGACCGAGATCACGACCTGAGCTGAAATCAAGAGTTGAACCTTCAACCGATGGAGCCAGCCAGGCGCCACAGGCTGTATGTCTGCCATGGAGGGAGCAGCACCCCTGATGGCGAGCAAGATTAAGCAGCATGATCTCACCTTTTGGTAAAATCACAAGTTGTGACCCTGGTGTAACTAGAGTGCTACGAGAATCCAGGGCAGTGATACGAACGCCAGCCTGGCCCTCAGCTCCTCCTCAGTGACAGAGGGCACGGAGGGCATGGAGGGGACGGAGGGGATGGAGGGCACAGAGGGCATGGAGAGGATGGAGGGGACGGAGGGCACGGAGGGGACGGAGGGGACGGAGGGCACGGAGGGGACGGAGGGCACGAAGGAGACGGAGGGGATGGAGGGCACGGAGGGCATGGAGGGGACGGAGGGGATGGAGGGCACAGAGGGGACGGAGGGCCCAGGGCCAACTTGACACAGGTGAGGCCAGGATCAGGCCCAAGATGAGGATGTCCACGACCCAACATCACTCTCAGGGCACCGGCCTGTCAACCAGGAGTGGACACCAGGGCTGTGTGAGCCAAGTGGCACAACTGAGCTACGACGCGGCAGGTTTGCAGTGGGGAGAAGGAAACAACACACATGCCACTGGCACGTCAGCGAGCACAGTCCTGCTCATACTCGTTTCACTTTGAGCGCCTGCCTTCAGCTCAGGCGGTGACCCCGGGGTCCCGGGATCGAGTCCTGCATCAGGTCCCCACACGGAACCTGCTTCTCCCTCGGCCTGTGTCTCTGCCTCTCTCTGTCTCTCAGGAATAAATAAATAAGATCTTATAAAAATAATAAAAATAAAGCTTCACTTTGCCCCCATCCTCCTCGGCTGCTCCTCCACGCTCAGGGTGCGTCCAGGTTCCTCCGCATGACAGAACGCGAGCCCCCGACCTCTCTCCACAGGCCGGCGCCTTGTTCCCCGGTGCCTCCGGGCTGCTCACCACTGCGGCCCTGGGGCAGGAGTCCGGTCACGTCCCACCCACGCTCCTGCGCGTCCCGGGCGCGACTGGCCGTCTGACATCCTCCCGGCCCCGCTCCTCAGCTCGCCCTTGCTCTGCGCAGCATCTGCGTCCCGCTCCGCGCGGAGTGACCTTTCCGAGTCACCCCGTCCGTGGCCCCTTCCAGTTTCGGCCCCGGGGCTTCTGCTGACGGGCCCCACCCTCGGGTTCTTCCTCACCCAAGTCTTGCCGGACCAGCCCCCCGGAGGCTCAGCATCTGCTACCGTGGGGTGACGACCAGCGTTCCTCTCTGCCTCCTTTGTGGGGTCTGCAGCCCCCGGCCCCCGCCCGGCACGCGGCCCCCGCCCTCCCGTAGGGCCTCAGCACGTTCACCACCGTTGTTTCCAACTGCAGCCTGAGGGATCCGACACCCTGGCGTGTCTGGTCCGGGGGCTCGGTCTGCGCCCTCAAAGCCTCCATCTGGGGAGCCTGATCGTCTTGTGCGCCAGCTGGGACCAGGCCCTCCCGGGTGCGGGGAGGGCGGGGGGGGGGGGGCTCCGTGCTCCTCTGAGCTGAGGCCTCCCTCTGACGGCTTCCCCGGGCTTCCCAGCTGGGCTCCCCGCTGGGGCGTGGGCTGCCTACGTTCCCGGGGCCAGACCCTGCTCCAACGACGTCACAGTGGCTCCCCGTCCTGCCCCTGCTGTGAGCACGGGAGGGGTCCTCTGTGCGGCCCAAGTGGGGCCCTGGCCAACCCGGGTGGATCTCCCCGCAGGTTCTTCTCTCCGAACGGTCCCCGCGGAGCCGCCGGCCCTTCCTCAGCCACAGCACAGGTCTCCGGCCCAGAGTGGTTCCCAGGGAGGCCTCCGTCCGCAGTCCCTGCCTGGGGACCCGCGGCCCCACAGCCGCTGTCATTCCCTCCGATCCTGGGGCAGCCGTTTGCCCTGCATCCACCCCTCTTCCCTCTTGTGATCTAAGAGAAGTGGCTGCTCAGTCTGTTCAGCGTTTTACTTGTTAGGACAGCGGTGACTCGGGAGCTCCTTGGGGGGAACCAGAGCAGAAGTGAAATTCAAAGTACAGTAATCACGACCAAGTGCAATTTTTTAGGATATAGACGACCAGCAAGGAAAATACGCTCCTTTTGGGGGCAAGTATCTGTTTCACTGGGGTTAAAAGTCAGTGCTCCTCATTGTCAGTTCCCAACACCCTTCACACGTTCATCCCTGGGATCTTTACATATTTCATTTCTAAAAAGGTCCTTTTGCACAGAAACGCTGGTATCGGTGCAGGTGTGCCCGCCGGCGTGGACTGCGGAGCCCATGCTCCTGTGCCGGCCCCAGGCCGCCGTCCCATCCCCCGACCGGCGCAGCACAGCAGCACCCCTCAGTCCTGAGCGGGCTATGAAATGTGGACTTGGCCTCGCAGGAGCGAGGCACAGACCGCGGTTCCACGTTGAAGGTGCTGCTCTCCCTCCCTAACAGTGTCCTGTGCCCTAAGCTCCCAACCCCACACACGCACTCAGCCCCCAAGGGGCCGTGTGCGAAGGAGGTCGGGCCGTCGGCCTCCGCCTCCAAAGGACGGTGACATCGCCTGGGAAAGGGCGGACCCCGTGTAGTGCTCCGCGGCCGGTGACCCGGGCAGGTCCGTCCTCACGGTGTCCGCGGCTCACCCAGCGTCCTCCCAGGCACCTTCCCGGCCACCGCCGCAGTCACGTCCTCACAGACTTCAGGTTGTACTCCACGAGCTCTCTCCCCCCTGAAGACACCCTTGCCTGTGGGTGCTCTGCACACCAGCTCGGAGACTTGTCTCTGGGTCGCCGAGCTCCGCAGCAGCCGAGCAGACCGGAGACACCCCAGAAACCCCTCGAGACCACCTGCCTCGTGGCCCCACCTGCTTTGCGGCCCCGACCGCCACTCTGTGCCCGGAGGCCCCGGAACAAGCTGCTGTCTCGGAGTGCGTGGCCTCCCTCGCTACGGGCAGGCCTCAGCGAGCGGCTTCCTCGTTTGGCGGACAGCTGAGCCCCCCAGAAACTGGCTGTGATTGAAGCCGTAACTTCACCCCTGATTTCTGTGAAGACCTGCCGCTGTGGTGACGCACCCAGTTAGGTTTCCGCTCCTCCCAACGTTGCTCGTGTCCACCCCCAGGTCAGCACCAGCAGCACTGGCGGCTCGTAGGACCGCTCCCTAAACCATCCACATCTGGGCCCGTGCTGTCCCCCTTTCCTGCTGCGACACGAGGGGCACGTGGCGACCACGGGGTGTGCCCGGGCGCAGCTCCCAGCCGCACTTCTGAGAGCCGCAGCGTGTGGCGCGGGAGGGGGCGCCCCGTCCAGCCTGCCACCGGTACCTGCTGCGTGCGGCGCCGCGGGGGCGAAGGACGCAGGGAGGAGTCCCCACGCCCGTCCCCAACACCGCGGACGATGGAATTCCAGCTAGCGTCACCTGCACATCACACGCCGTTGACCTCTTCCCAACAGTTTCAAGCGTAAAGAACACGCTCGGCTCACAAGTTGCGTAAAGAGGGGCAGCGAGCCGGACGTGGGCTGCAGGGCCGACCCCTGCTCCTGCCGGGAACAGAGGCCACAGGAAGCACCCGTGGCTCTACTGCCAAAGGAAGGCAAACACGCTCCCCCACACCCGCGGAGGTGTTCACAGGGGTGCTCGCCGCAGCCCTCCAGGCCTGTTAAACCGAGGACGAGACACCTACGAGCCGCCGCGTGGCCAGGGTCAGGACGGGGCGCAGCCCACGCCCCAGCGAGCAGCTCTGCGCCACGGTGGCAGGGAAGCAGCTGCGGGCAGCGTGGGGAGGCGTGGCGCCGAGGGCTCGGACAGCGGCAGGCACAGGCGGCGGAGGCACCGTGGGCGCGACCAGGACGACGAGCCTCTGCACACAGCCTGCGCCAAGACAGCAGCTGTGCCGTGAAGGGTCTCAAGGCAGAGACGTTCTCATGAAGAACAGCGAGTGGCCACGAGTCAGAGAAACAAGGACGGAGACCCTGGCCCGGGGGTGCAGGGGCGCCCGCCACACGGAGCGGCTTGCTCGGCCGCAGGACCCCCCCTCCCCCCATACGGGCACCATGTTTGTCACAAACAGAACCTGCACTGCAGCCACGTCACGGGGCATCTCACACACGGAAGGCATGCGGACTCCGTGGGGACGTGGCCGGAGCTGCCAGGGGCAGGAAGTCGACCGGAGAGCCCAAAGCCCACCCGGCTCGGACGGCAGGGCCATGCCAGGCTCCCAGGGTGGTGCCCGGGGCCAGCGGTGGGAGCGCGTGGGCTCCAGAAAGGGCAGGGACCAGTAGGCGCTGTGGAAGCTGCACGTGTCAGCATCCACCCGACGGCGGCCGGCGGGGCCGGGAAGGCAGCTGAGCAGGCTGTGCACAGGGAAGGCCGGCGCAGCTCTGTCCACCAATGCGACACGGCCTCGGGGACCCGGCAGCGAAGGGTGGCTCTGTGGACGCGTCCCCCCACTGCTGGGCCGGGCCGGGCGCCGGAGCAGCCACGGTCTTACCACCTGTAATGAAGCGCTGGCTGGCGCTCTGCTGCTGCGGGGTGGCCGGGCCAACACGAGCGACAGGCCGGCTGCCCCGGTTCAGATGCAGCAACCACGGAGGGGGGCTCGCCGAAACACCAGCCAGAACCTGGCCAGGCCTGCAGACTGGGGCCAGGGGAGGCCAGGGGAGGCCAGGGGCCCACCTGACCCGGACCCCGACGGAAACCAAGGAGAGCAAACTCGAGCCGCGTGGCGTTCAGCAGCAGTCGCGAGCATGGGCACCGACCAGTATGTGGGGCCACGGGGTCCCTGTAACTTTCTACATCTATAAAGCTGCTGTGTTAGAAGAACCTCGTCCCCTGGGATAGGGGACGGCAGGAGCCGTGGATGAAACACAACTGACCGTGAGCTGGGGGCTGTGGACGCGGCGTCACCGACACATGGGACTCCGCACGTGGCTCTGCCCGCTTCTGTGTTGAAAATACCCTGCAACCAGTTTTTAAGTTGCTGGTATGCATTTTGATGTATTCTTGGTCTTAGGACCAAAAGACTTTTGGGTATCAAAGGATGATTGTCCCCATCTACGCTTTCTCGGGAACTTAAATTCTCCTGACAAATGCACTTGGGGAGACGGCGAGGAGTAGGAACGCTAGCGAGCTCCCGGGACGCGGGACGCTCCCTCCGCTGACCTACCACCGCGAGCTGCATCCCGCGTGGTAACCCTGCTCTGAAACACCACAAGGGGAACGTACGGCCCGAGTGAACCCCTAAAGCGGCCCATCCCTGAAAGCGAACGTGACTTGTACCAGTCGGCACCGCGAGCCCGCCGGGGGGCCTGGGCCCTCCACCACCCCACAGAGGGGCAGCGACAGTCTCTGCGTTCACCCCGCAGGGAAGCCTTAACGACAACGGCCGTTTCCACCTTGGGGATATTCACACTACACATGCTTCTACTTAACCCTCAGTGACATCGGCTTTAAACACGGTTAAGCTTTCCCGACGCCCTGGCTACTGGCCTAGAGTCTGCGTAGGCGCCATCGGGGCCGCCGCCCAGCAGGGCCGCCCGTGGGTGCTCGTGAGCGCAGAGGGACGGGACGGGGTGCTGCGGCCCGGGGACCTCCCGCCAGGACCCGCCCCCCGGAGGCGCTCGGCCGCCGAGCCGCACCCACGGACACTCACCTTCTTGAAGGCCCGGAACCAGTTTGTAAACAATGTCCTGCATGGTCCTGTCATGACTGGTGAAGAGAACACAACAGGCAAGGTTATTAGCAAGGCCGCCGCCACACGCCGTGCACGTTCCCAACTCCACGGTCGCAAATCTGACATTTGGCTGAGTTTTGCATCTAGTCTGCACCTCAGACGTGTGTGCTAGCAGGTCCCGTGTGCCCCCAATTAGCGCATCGTTTAATTCAGGTTCCAGAGGCCTACGAATAGTGCGGGTCGCGGGGACACAGGCCAGACCCTGCAGGACGGCCCTGCCCGCCCCTCCACGGTGCTTCCCGGCCTACGCTGTTCCGAAGAACGAGGCGGGCAGGCCGCGTGGTCTTCACGACCCGCCCACGAAGGTTTCCTGAGACGGCTACACGAGACGGTGTCTCGCGCCCGTTCCCGCTCCTCTGTTGCTATTTGTAAACTGAAATCACTGAGACGTCCAAGTGACTGTTGTCACATGACTGTCCACTTAAAAACCCCGCCCGTGAGAACAGAGACCTCGAGGGCAGCCCTGATGGCTCAGCGGTTAGCACCACCTTCAGCCCAGGGTGTGATCCCGGAGACCCGGGATCAAGTCCCATGTCGGGCTCCTGCATGGAGCCTGTCTCTGCCTCTCTCTCTCTCTCTCTCTGACGAATAAACAAATGAAATCTAAAAAACAAAAACAAAAAACAGAGACCTCGAGGACTCGGGCAGGAGCGTGTGAACCGGCAGCCGTGCTTCCCAGTGCATACGAGGCTCCGGCGCCTGGCATCCACCCCGCAGGCCCAGAGTCCTGCACAGACAGCGACCGTCGCCTGGCCGAGGACCACAGGGCCGGGTGGAGGCCTCGGGGCGCTCTCCTCGGGGAGGGTGCCAGCAGGCAGGCACACGACGGGGCCTCCTTCCTGGAGTCGGCCACACCCAGGCCCCGTCTGGGAGCCCCCATGGCCCCCACGTTCACACTCCGTCCTACGGGCTACACACCGTAACTCTGCTCTGTTGTGGGGCCTCCGTCAGGCCACGCAGCACAAGTCCTCGCACAGAGGAGGTGCAGAGCTGCCCCGAGGGTCCCGCAGCCCCGAGGCGCCTGGCTCCCGCCTCCCGCAGCAGCCCCGGTGCAAAGCTTAAGGCCCTTCCTGCGCGGCAACCTCCCGGTCGGCTGGAGCACATCAGAGCAGAAGGGCCCCCGCGGGGTCAGGACAAGGCCCTGACCAGCTACAGAGTCGGTCCCAGGACGGCTGAAACACGACCGCCCTGCGCCACCAGAGTTCCGGGCTGCGCTCCGGGGGGAGGAGCAGGGGACAGGCTCAGCAAGAAGGCGACAGGAGCCCAGGGCCCATGGCAGGCCTCGGGGATGGGCACCTCCCCGGCCTGGTCACCGCATGGGTAACTGCACAGAGAAGGCGCAGACGCCAAGGCCGACGGCCCCGGCCAACGCGCCGGGCGAGCTGCACCCCAGTTAGCAGGGCAGGCTGTGCCTGGAACCCCAGGGCCCCGGCCTGCTGAGGGGTCTCAGCCCTCCCAGAGCATGGGGGCCAGGTCCTGACACCCGGGGACCCGTGCATCCACAGCTTCCCGCCAGCATGAGGCCCCAACCACCACCCGCCTTCCGCAGTTCACGCCAGGAGGCACCCGTGCTCTATGAAACCACACCCCAGGACAGGAAATGTGCACACACACCGCCACAAAGGGCCCACCGGACCAAGGACGTGCGGTGGGAACAGACGCCTCCCAGAAGCCTCAGCGGCCAGCTGCCGTGTGGGGCGAGGCCCGTGCTCACTGGGGATCCAGGCAGGAGCGCACACACCCTCCGAGGGAAGGACGCAGCCCACGGCACCCAGGGGCGCAGCGGTGAGGTCGTGCACCGCGAGGACTCGCATGCCAACAGCCCGCTCTGAGGGACGAGGGAGGGCTCGCTGCACGGGGACACCGAGGCTGGCGGGGAGAGCCCACGGGGCACCCCGACGCCCTGGCCACGACGACACGGCCGGGCGGCTTCAAGGCCTGCTCGCTCCTGCCTCTCGGTCCAGGGAGGTTCCCGCTGCACGGCGGCCAGCTGTCCACGTTCTTAAACTCTTCCGTGCACGCTGCACGCGTCACAACCTTAGGGGTGGAAACACGCACTCTCCCTTCCAGACATCTTCACACTCACCTCTGCTGCCCCCACGGGGTGGGGGGCGCTGCGCTTCCTTTACAATGACCCCCAGATCCGCAAAGCATTTCAAACCCCACACACGAGCCCCCCCAACACGTCCTGCCCACGTCAGCCTGAGCCCTGGGTCGGTCGTGCAGACCTGCTGACGCCTCCCACACGCATGGTGCCCATCCCGAGGGGGCCCAGTGTCCCCGAAACCCACGGAAGGCGGTGGCAGGACGGCCCAGAGGCCCGAGGCCGAGGAGCACTGGGTCCTCAGCAGCCCGGGGAGCGAGGCCGCCGCCCGCCTCAGGGAAGCCCAGCTTAGTCCAGGCGGGCCCCCAGGTGCCCAAGTGACCCAACGTGACAAAACTACCCCCGAACTCGTGGGGACAGCGCCCGCCGGGCTGACGTGGCCGGCCGCAGGGCCAGGGGCAGGGCGAGTCCCTGATGCGCGGGCGAGGCCGAGGCTGACGGGGGCCCGGGCCGACGCACTCACCCGATGTACTGCAGCGGGTGGCTCTGGTGGATCACGATCCTACACGTGGGGCAGGTGTTGTTCTCCTCCAGGTACTTGACCAGGCAACTCCGACAGACTGTTTGCAGAAACACACCCACGTCACAAAGTGTGCCCAGGACGGGGCGGCCGACCCTGCTCGGGCTCCGCACACGCCCCGCCTGGCGCCCGCCACCCCCGCACGGCGGCTGTGACGGGACGCCAGCCTCCCAGGCTGGCCAGCCAGCAGGCCCAGGCTGGCGGCCGCTCACCGCTCACCACGCGGCGGCAGGCAGGACATGTGGGGCTCAGGGGACCCAGGAAGCTAGCCGAGGCGGGGGCGCTCCGGGCGCAGGAGCCCAGAAGCCACCAGGACGCCCCTCAGGGTCTCGCCTCAATATCCTCCCCACAGGCGCTAACACAACTTTCACATTCGTCTTAAAAAAAAAAAAAAAAATCACAAAATTCTCCACGTACAACAAAATTGGAGAGAATTTAATGAAAATAACCATCTAAGTCTATAATCACCTTTAAAATAAAAGTTCTATCAAAATTGGCGAGATTTTATTTTCTAAAGTGGAAAATACATGATCCAAAGTCCTCGGATTACAGGCGCTGGTTCTGCTGCAAGGCCCTGGCTCCCCAAGGGCTCCTCCCAGCGACCTCGGCCACCGCGCACCCCTCGCTGCGAGCGAGCGCACCCTCCATCCAACAGGCGTATGCGCCTCGAGGACCCGAACCACGTTCCTCTGCTTAGAAAGTGTAAGAAATTCCTTTGGAAATTTAAAAAATAACCATTTCTGTCCCCGGGAAGTGAATATTGTGTCGTAACACACTTAGGACTCCTTTCCCGTATTGAACTTTCTTAAACGATACCTCACCTGAAATTACCCATAATATTTGTAATTTGAGACAATTTTTCTGATTTAGGATCTTTATTCCTGCTTCTGTGCCTTGCTTTGTGCTTGCACTAAAAGTTTTTGGTGAAAAACAAAAAAACGAAAGAAAGCCCAAGTATCAGGAAACCACAAGGCTAGAAACAGTCAAAGGCCACGTTCGAGAACATTCTCCACATACACATGCACAGACACACTCCCCACGGCCATCAGGACCACCTTCTGGAACATGCCCCACACACGCCTGTGCAGACACCCACCCCCCCACAGCCATCAGGATGACCTTCTAGAACATTCCACACACACACCTGCACAGACACCCACCCATGGCTGTCAGGACCACCTTCTGGAACATTCCCCACACACATCTGTGCACACACACACACCCCAAGGCCGTCAGGACCACGTTCTAGAACATTCCCCACATACACGTGTGCAGACACTCGGTCACCGTGGTCGCGTCGATGAGATACCCGCTGCACAGGCGGCAGGTGATGTGGGCGTTTATGTCCCAGAGCTTAATCTTTCTCGTCAACATCTTTGGCTTCTGTAAGAGAAAATCACTTTTAATTAATATCTGAAATACTCCCAGGTGCTGCTTTTTTCTTTTAAGAATTATTTATTTATTTTTAGAAAGAGGAAGAGAGAGAGAACAGGGAGAGAGAGAGCAAGCAGGAGCAGGGGGAGGAGCAGGCTCCACGCTGAGCACAGAGCCTGACACGGGCTCGACCCCAGGAGCCTGACATCACAACTTGAGCTGGAAGCAGGAGCTGGACGCCCCGGATCCTTTCGTCACAGGTTCGGGCTCCGTGGCAATCAGGTGACCGCACCTCCCCAGGCTACCTGCCCCCCTGGACCAGCGGCAGTCAGGTGACCGCACCTCCCCAGGCTCAGGTGATGGGGGCTGCTGCCCACCTGGACCAGAGGCAGGCCAGAGGCTCTCTGCTGGACCTGCACGTGGTGCCGCGCCGTCAGCCTCCCCTAGAGGGCCAGGACTGTCCCGCCAAACCCCCGCCGGGCAGCACCCTGCAAAGTGCCCCCGAGTCCCCTCAGCCAGCTGCATGCCCGCCCCCTGGACTCCTCGACCCTCTCCTGCTCAGGACTGAGCTGAGGTCAGTGGGTAGGGGGCGCGTCAGGGACGTTGGTGCAGCTGCAAGAGGAGAGGCTGGGGGAGCAGGCGGGCCGTGCTGGGTCTGGGACGTAGCTGAGGGGTCACTGCGGGAACTCGGGCTCCTCTGTAAAGCTAGGGGACAAAGGACCCCAAGGGATGCCAGTGAGGGCAACCCCGGCCGACCTGAACATGAAGCCAGGTCCCTGGATGAGGCCTCAGTATGGACACACGGAAACAAGGGCACGCGGCCCAGGGACATGTCCATACTCGCGGGTCACGCCACATGTCATTCCAAGAAGGGTCAGGACAGTCGACGTTCAATCCTACAAGCCCCGGGGGAGGGAGGGGCCGCCGGCCAGACGCACCCAAACAGGGCAGAAGCCATTCCGTTCCTAGAAACTTATCTTAATAACGGGACACGTTCGGAAGATGATCGCTGCAACTTTAAGATGGCAAACCATGGGAAACTGCCACACGGACTGGCTGAGAGCAGCCTCGCTTACCGCAGGGGCTCTAGGCCCCCTCCCGTCCCGCGCCCTGTGCAGGGACAGCCAACCAGCCCCCCAGGACCTCAGGAGCCTCCTGGTCCAGCACAGCCCGGCCCCAGGACCGGGGGCACACGCGTGCCCCGCCCACCAGCCGCCTGCTCGTCTGCCACTGACCCACGGGACCGCACCGCTGCACACACACGGCGTCCCCAAGTGCAAGCATGTGCGCGCCAGCGTGCTGAAGCCTGGTCCCCGTCTCGGTCCCCTCCCCCCGCTGTACCTGTCTCTCCCCCTGGACCACGGGCTCCAAGAGGGCAGGTGTGTCACTGCACCTCCTGAGCTGTGCCGGGAGTTACAGCAGCTCCCGGGGATGCTCACGGCTACCCCGGAACCTGTGCATCACCTCACACGGCCCTTTCGAGGGGCAGCGGCAGGGTCGGGGTCATGGGCGAGGGACGGTAGGCTGGCTTGAAGCCGGGCCACGGAGCCGAGGGTGCGGCGCCCCGGACACCACAGAGGACGAGGAACGGTTCTCCCCTGGAGCCCAAGGAGCCCTGTGGGCACCTAGACTTGAGCCCAGGGGCGCGTGTTGGGGACCTGGGACTCTCCGAAGTGTCAGGGACGCACGCGCCTGGGCCACGGCCGCCACTAGGTCTGCTCCTTTGTTACAGCAGCAGCAGGAAAGCAACACAGGACGCCGCTCCAGGAAGTACCGGGAGAACGGGTTCAGATCATCACGATCGGGGTTCCGCACGAAGAGCAGAAGCAGATATGACAGAGACCGAGGCACCACCGAGGGCGGCTGGCCTCACCCGGCGGCCACGGCGTGCACGACTCCCAGGCCGCCGAAGCACGCCCGTGCCCAGTGCCATTCAAGAAAAAGGGAAAAGACAGCAAAGCACCTGGAGGACCTGAGACCCGCCTCCATCCGTGCGAGGTCGGGGGTGGGGGTCGGGGGTCGGGGTCCAGGGCAGGGGCCGGCTCTGCCTGCCACGACGCCGAGCAGCACGGGGGCCTGGCCGGGCTCTGGGGCCGGCTGAGGAGGTGAGGGCCTGGGGGGAGCGGCAACCTAGAGGTGACCTGTCACCCGCCCAGACGCTCATCAGGTCCAACAGCTAGCCAAGCAGACATGCGATCGCGGCAGCCAGACGGACCGGACCGCACCCCGATCCAGCGCCACTCTAGGCTGTTCACCCACCCCCACCCCCGCCTGCGGCAACGCGCGGCCGCCTGGGGCGCTGTCAGCCCTGCTGTCCTCCCTCCACAGGATCAGCCGCACCTGGGGCTGTGGGACCCGGGCCGGGCCGGGCCGGGCCGGCGAGGGGTGCCGACCCTCAGGGAACCCAGCACCACCTCCTGGCATCATCCCCGGCAAACAGAGGCAATCAGGGGCCTGCCGACACGGAAATCCCACGAGAGGCCCCACACTGGCGCCAAGCGAGCACCATTCTCTCATCCTCAACCTTCTACTGAGCCGCCGTGGACGTACCCGCTGCGAAGGAGACGACACGCACATGGCAACGAGCTCAGCAACCACAAATCTTCCCCGCCGCCGGCCAGCTGAGTTGCCCGGCGGGAGCCCCACAGGGCTGGCTTCAGTCGCACCTGGACTGAAAGCACGACGACGCGGAGAAGGAATTGGTGAAGCCAAAGCCTAGGGTCACGTTGCCACGCAGGGCCTGTGGCCCCGTTGAGGGGCCGGGGTCGGCGGGGGCTCTGCTGGCGAGCAAGTGGCTGAACAGATACAGATGTGCGTGCGCATGTGAGCGTAGACTCTGTCCGCCGGGAGGGCTGGGAGCGAGCGCACCCGCGGCCCACGTCCCCGGCTCAAAGGCTCTACCGGCCACACTGGGGACAACGGGAGCTTCGGGAACAGGACGGATCAGATCATCATCAACAGCAGGACGCAGGAGTTCACACGTCCACCCTGCGCTGGTCCTTCCCGCAGCTGCAGACTGTGCCCGCAGTCAGCACCCTCCGCGGGCAGCAACCCTTGCTCGGGCGTCACCCACGCAGGCTTCGCTGAGGAGGATTCCACACGTCTCCCCCCACCCACTCCCCAGGCAGCAGGAGCAGGGCCTGCCGGTGGGAACGCTGCGTGGACGTCGCTGGACACTGCCTCCGGTCAGGCCACCGAGGGCTCGACACCCTCACCAAGGAGCACACACGGTCCCACCAACGGGAAACCCGAGGAGGTGACCCCCAGGGAGGTCATGGGGGCCAGGAAGATGGAGGGCGGTCGCTGGAGGCAGCGTCTGGCAGAGGGGACGGCCCTGCCAGCCTGAGGGGAAGCATCTGCCTGCGGAGCCCCCACCTGCGGACACGAGCGCAGCCTGGAGACGCCCCGGCCGGACCGCTGGCCCTGCCCACGTGGGGCCCCACGGCCAGCCACCGCCACCGTCCCCAACACCGGGCGCCCCCTCTGCAGCCCTGGGCACGAGCCGGAGAAGCAGAGCGGTGCACCCTCCACACCCCACACCTGCCAGCAAACCCGAGACGCCGGGCTGGTGGGTCCCGGACCCTGTCGCGGGACGGAGGCAGGCCGTGGGCGTCCGCCATCAGCATGGCCGTGAGCACGCGGCCGTGTCCACAGTGGGCTCCCCCCAGCGGCCGGGGGGCGCGGCGCCTCACCTCTCTAGATGTCTGCGGCCCTCTCCTCCGGCCTTCGCATTGGGCGCTCAGGCTGCTGCTCCGATGCTGCGCGTCCTCGCCGGCGGCCTCACTCTGCCCCGTGGGTCTTCACCTGTGCGCCTCCCTTCTGTCCCTCGCTCTCTGTCCATTTTCTGGCACAGAAACAGCCCGTTACTTCGTGTCCGCCACGCAGGCCCGATGCACACAGTCCCGTCTAGAGCCTCTGGAGCGTCCCCCACAGCACACGACACAAGGGTCCAGCACAAGCATCGGGAGAAAACCCGGACGCGTCTAAGTAGCCGCGGGACGTTTACGGGAGCCACGTTCTCCGAGGCTGCGTCCCACGGAGTGCTCCCCAAGGAGGCCGCCAGCCGTCCCCACGCTCCGAAGCTGCGCTTACCTGTCCATGGCAGCCGGGAGCCCTCTGCTACATTTTGAAGCCTGTGGAGACACAACACCGGGCGTCACCCACACGCTGTCCGCACGGAGCCCCTGGCCCCCGCACACCAGCAGCTCAAAGCACCAAGAACCAAGGACACTGAGGAACCAGCGCAGAGCACAGACGTGGGTGGATCCCAGGGCCAGGCTGGCGTCACCAAGGCCCGGGGCTGGCGGGCGGGGGGCAGCCCAAGGGGACAGGATGGAGGCCTGCGCAGGCTCCGGAGGCGGGGAGCCCCGGGAAGGGGCTGGGGCCTCTGGGGGAACAGCACACGGAGGAGCTGGATTCCGTGACGCCGGCTCTGCACCCTCCTCACAGCCCACCCGGCGAGCACGCAGGCTCCAAGCCGGGCTCTGGGCCACGCAGGGGCCAGACGGGCACAGGCACCAAGCGGGGCTGAGGTCGGGGACCTGGGAGCCCCCAGGACCCGGTGGTCAGGCTGGAGGCCACGGGGCCACGTGCGGACTCATTCTGAGACCCCCCAGAGCGTCCACGGACCCTCCCACCCGCCTGCCCAGGGGAGCCAGCAGCACGTTCGCCAGGGATGGGCCTGGGGACGCACGCGGCCCAAGCGGCGTGACCCTGGTGCTGGGACAGCAGTGGTTACATGCAACCCCGGGACGGCGGACCTCGGAAGTACTATAGCGGCTGCCCGTGGCATCCGATCTACGGTGTCGCACGCTTCAAGCTTTCCACAACTGCATTTCTCATTCGCTCATCTTCGAAGCTCACTCAAGTTCTACAGAAAAAGGAGGAGAGGGAGGGCGGGACGGAGGAAGGGAGCGCGCGGAGGCCAGGGGACGGGCCTGGCTCGGCCGCCGCGGGGGCGTGTCCGTGAGCAGCCGTCGGCGTCTGTCTGTCCAGTTACGTGGGTCGGACGGCGGCAGCCTATCCGCAGGGACAGGCCCTCGGCACGAGGTCTCCGCCCAGTGACCAGAGCCACACGCCAGCGGAGGCCGAAGGGCGGGAGTGAGGGCACCGGCCGGGCACCCGCTCGCCCGTCACACGCCGTCCGGAGGTGTAGGGCCAGCCCGGAAGGCCACGCGCGAGCGGTCACGGGCCACACTACTATTACGGGTTGTGGACGGCTTTCTGCTGACAAAGTAAAAATTTATATGAAATTGATAAATTCCCAGAAAGAGAACCATGAGCCGCGCGGCAGGTGGACTGAGCGCGAGGAGCACGGTGCGGGCGCAGCGGCGCGGGGAAAGTGCTGTCCCTTCACCCCCCGGCCGAGGCCACCAGGTGCTCACGCAGCCGAGACCAAGCCCCACGCGGTCCCCCCGGAGGACACGTGCCTTCCAGCTCGCTCTGTGACCGCACGTGCGGGGGTCAGACTGGGCTCACGGGCGGCACCCGCTCCGCCCGGCCCGGAGCATCCAAGGAGACGTCGCGCTGGGCACCGCGGGGCCATCCCCATGATTCGGGGATGGTAATTCGACACAAGACCAAACGAGAAAAGTGCTAAGATCTTCCCAAAGATGCCAAAAATCGTTTGATGAAATTCATTATCCATTCATGATTTTTTAAAAAATCTTAGCAATTTAGAAGCTAATAAAAGTTCTCTGCTTAAAAGAGACACAGGGACCCCGGGGGCTGGAGTCGGTTAGGTGTCCGCTCGTGGCTTTGGCTCAGGTCACGATCTCAGGGTCATGAGGTCAAGCCCCGCGTGGGGCTCTGCGCGGGGTGTGCGGTCGGCCTGCGAGGGTCTCAGCCTCGGCCTCTGCCCTAAAGATAAACATGTAAATAGCGTAAGGGAGACACCAACACAAATATCCATCCATTCAACAGTTTATGCCGGAACGTTCAAAGCAGCTTTTAAAAAAAAAGATTTTATTTACTTATTCATGAGACCCAGAGAGGGGCAGAGACCCAGGCAGAGGGAGAAGCAGGCTCCACGCAGGGAGCCCGACGCAGGACTCGATCCCAGGACCCCAGGGTCACGCCCTGAGCCGAAGGCAGATGCTCACCCCTGAGCCCCCCGGGCGGCCCTCAAAGCAGCTTTATTCACACAGCCCCACATGCCCATCAACAGGCAGTAGGAACCAAACGTGGTCCGTCTACACAGCAGGCTCTTCTCAGCAAGACCAGCAAAGGACAGAGCTCTGTGCTGCAGGCAGGCCTGTGCGTCCACGTCTCCCAGACACACGACTGTAGAAAAGGCAGATTTGGGCACCCGGGGCCCCTACCGGCGGGGTTCTGGGTCAGGACTGGGGTGCGGCCTGGAAAACTCCAGGGAGCTTTACTGTGTGTAAACTGCACCTCCATTAATGGTGCATTTTACAATTTTAAAAAATTGCAACAAACATCATTCCTAGTGATGAAATCGGAAAAACAAAACAGAACAAACTCCTAGTTTACACAAAGCGTGTCCCCCGCCCTCACCCCCACGTAATCAAGTGCAGGGGCAAGGCCCGCCCGACTCGGCGAGGAGGATGACCACACAGCGTCAGAAAGCACTGGCCACGGGGACTACTGGCATCAGCCTCGCTCACACCGCGAACCCCCGACACCCCGGCTCCCCGCGAGAGAGAAAGCCCCCACTCCTGACCACAGTCCAGACCGGGCTGCCGAGGCTGCTGTGCCAACGACCTGCGGGGGACCCTGCGCCCGCCGCCTGCGTCCTGCCCGTCCCTGCCACGGGATGCACGCGTGTCCACTACGTGCAGCCCAAAAAGCATCTGCTAAACAGTGGCCAAACCCCACTCCAGACAATAGGGAAAGTCCAAACAGGCCCATTTCCAGACGTCCAGCTTCGTCAGGAAACCAGGAAATGCAAGTGAGATCCCATGAGGGTCTGCTGTCCCCCAGCACCTCCCGACGGCCAACAAGATCCGGGACGGGGGCAGTCCCAGCACAGCCCATCCCCAGGCTCACCGGTCACCGCCTGGACGAGGCCCCAACCGAGGCCCGTCCACATCCGGCCCGGACTCCCCCAGGGCTCCTGGGCACTGGCTCCAGCATGCATTGTGCATGGGGCCGGGGCCATTGGGGGGCCCAGGGCGGCTGCCTCTCCGCTGTTACCTGCCCAGGAGCAGGCATCCCGCATGAAGAGGCCCAGCCTCCCCGCCCGTCCGCGGACCACCCCCCACCCCCGGGCAGTCCTCATGGGCCCCTGGGCTGCACACGGAGCCACTGGGGCTCGCATCCCTTGGCCCCCCGTGCCGGTGTGGGGGTGCCCCCTCCGTGACCGTCTGAGGTTAAGACAGCGGGTCTGGTTTGCGGAGTGGAAGCAGTATGCACCTTTATCATACATGATTTGGAAAGTAAAGAATCACCCTAAGAAAAATGCCCTATAACCCGAGTGCCCCCCAACTACGGTGACCTCCTGCAGCGGCGCCTCCCCCGCGGTACAGCCCTGACCACTGCCAGCACGTGCACACACACCCTCGTCATCCTAGAAAGGCCTCCTCCGACCGCACGCGATGCGCTACACGGGCCCCTTGGGACTAATGACCAGGGTCGGCGTCCTCCCAGGCCAGCACGCCCATCACAGCCGCTGCGGCCTGAGCCCCGGGGGCGCGCCGTGCACCCTAACCGGAGACGGGGCGCCACAGGGCACCAGCAGCGGGCCCCCACCGGGAGTGCCCCCCAGGGCCGTGCTTCCTTCTGTCAACCACGTCTTACAAGAATCAAGCTTTCCACTTACTTTTTAATTAGTTTCACGAAGTGGTAACTTTCTAGGAAAACGTTCATCAAAATCTACTGGCACAAACTCACCGACATATCCCACAACCTTCACTCAACGGCCTTCCTGAAAAACACGCGACGAGACATACGCTTCACCTATTTTAAAGAGACAAGTGGGTCAGGCGTGGACATTCGCCGACGCCCGCGCCGCGGTGCCGTGTCTGTGGGACCGCGGGGCCCAGCTCCCGTCGCTTGTCTGCTCCGATGCCCCCTCGCGGCGTGAACCGCTCCCTGGGCCCTGGGCAGTGCCCGCGGCCGTGTGCTGGCCCGCTCACGGGGAGACGGCTGTCGGGGACTGTCGTGCGGGGTCATGTCGTCCTCCTGGTCAGGCTGCCGCCCGCCCCCCAGAGCACTGCGACCCCACAGCAGGGCTGATGCTGCGTCCTTGCTGTGACCCCTGCCCCGCGCCCACTGCCGCTCGTCACGGACCCGGCGGCCACGCAGGACGCGCCGTGTGTACAGCTGCGTGAAGCCGCGTCCACACCTGCTGCTCCGCGTGATGCCCCCCCCCCCGCCCCGGAGGACGTGTCTGCACGCAGCAGGTGCGTAAGGAAGCGTCCCACTCCATGCTGTGTCTGCAGGCGGCTGACCTCCAGCCCCTCGCTAAGCCCCAGCACCCGGCGAACCCATCCCTGCCTGGTCCCGCTTGCCCCCGGGGCCCAGCACAGGTCGTGAGCCCCGGCACAGGGGGGAACCAACAGGTAGCTGCAGGCGAGCACAGTCGGCGAGGGCCAGGCCAGGTGCTCGGGGAGGGGAGGGGGGGGAGGGGAGGCCCTGCCAGGGCCCACACGGCCCCAGCTCCAAGGACTGTTGCATTCTCAAGATGGACAGAAGCGTGTCACAAATGTTCCTTGCTGGGACGCTGGCACCAGGTCAAGATCAGGAGAAAGAGGGAAACTCGAAACGTGGTTCTAGGTGGCCACACGCTGCCGTGAAAGCGTCTTTAAAAAATAAAGAAATAGGGATCCCGGGCAGCCCTGGTGGCGCAGCGGTTTGGCGCCGCTTGCAGCCTGGGGTGTGATCCTGGAGACCCGGGATCGAATCCCACGTCAGGCTCCCGGTGCATGGAGCCTGCTTCTCCCTCTGCCTGTGTCTCTGCCTCTCTCTCTGTGTCTATGAATAAATAAATAAAATCTTTAAAAAAAAAAAAAAAAAAAAGAAATAGGGATCCCTGGGTGGCGCAGCGGTTTGGCGCCTGCCTTTGGCCCAGGGCGCGATCCTGGAGACCCGGGATCGAGTCTCACATCGGGCTCCCTGCATGGAGCCTGCTTCTCCCTCTGCCTGTGTCTCTGCCTCTCTCTCTCTCTATCAT